TCCTCCGCTGGTCCCTTCACACACTTGAACCCCGAGGGTAGAGGAGAAGCCACATGACCTTCAATCTTCCCAAAGTTTGCAGCCAAGGCCTCCAAGTACTTCTTTTGATGCACTCGCATCCACCTCGCTCAACCTGAAGCCCAAGGTAGTAGTTGACGTCACCAAGGGACTTGCACTTGAACTTGTCTTGAAGCTTCAGCATCACCTCCTTTATGAGGTCAGAGGAGGGTGAGAATATGAGGATGTCGTCCACATAAACCACCATGAAGCTCGTGTTCTCCCCCTCACCAAGCTTGAACAAGGATTGATTGGTCGTTGAGGGAGTGAAGCCGATCGCCTCAAAGACTTCCCGCAACTTGCTGTACCATTGCCTAGGGGCTTGCTTGAGGCCACAGAGTGCTTTCTTCAGCTGCCAAACTCTGCCACTCCCATTATTGTACCCCTCTTGCTGCTTCATGAAAATCTCTTCTTCCGAAACTCGGTTGAGGAAGGCCGTTACTATATCCATTTGCTTCACCACCCATCCTTTGATGGCCGCCGCACCGAAGAGAGTTCGAAGGGTTGTACCCTTTACCACAGGAGCATATACTTCATTGTAGTCCTTCTTCTCCTGCTGCTGGTACCCCTTGGCTACAAGTCTGCTCTTGTAGCGCTCAATGTTATTGTTGGCGTCAGTCGTGCGCTTGAAGAGCCACTTGGAAGAAATCGCCTTACGCCACGGAGGTAGGTTCACCACGTCAAATGTGTCGTTCTCTATGATGCTCCCCATTTTTTTATTTGAGGCCTTCTTCCACTCCTTCTCATTGGGCCCTCCCAAGCCTCCTTGGGATTTGTAGGCTCCCCCGGCATCTCCACCTGAGAGAAGAAGGCAAAAGCGCATTCCTCGCTTTCATCTTCCGCATCATCACCTAGCATGAGAGCCGAACCGGTCAAGGTTGAATTGGCTGGTCTTCCAAGCTGATCATAGCTCTGACTATTGGGGGGCTGAGTCTTCCTTCTCCCCTTTCCTTCCTCCTTTGCTGCAGGGACTTGAATGCTCCCATAGCGTTGCTGCAAATCTGGTTGGTTCTGGCAGGCACTTGTAGCACGAGGCGACAGTGACGGTGCACGCTCGTCACCTTGCTCCACCTTCTCCTCTTCTTCTGCCTTATTAATTTGAGGAGATTGCCTCGTGATTGTGCTGCTGCTTCTCAGCTCCAAGGGCAGCTGCACATGCTCCAAGCCGGTACTCTTCCCCTCACCAAGCTGCACACCAATCTTTGCATGGCTCTCTGCCTTCCACTCGTATGGTAAGTTCTCCATGAACTTGCATTCTATGCTCACCAAGAACTTCTTGGTAAATAGGTCCCAAAGAAGCCATCCCTTGTTGTTTTGAGCCATGCCCAGGTGCACGGCCTATGTTGCCTTGGCATCATCAAGCTTGTTGTGCCGAAGTTTTTTAGGCACAAGTGCCATGCACATGCACCCGAACATCCGAAGCATATCCATCTTCCGATTTCTTCCAATCCATTCCACATAGGGCACCCATTTTTCTTCTCCCCCATGATTTGAGGCTCTGTTCTTGGCCACACAAGCATGTCGCACTACATACGGCCAAAAGTAATTGGGAAGATCAGCTTCAATGAGAAGTCCCCGAGCCGTCTCCATAAGTGTCGGATTCGCACGCTCAGCGATGCTGTTCATTGCAGGAGAGTAGGGCATGGTAAGAGAGTGCCTTATACCATGATTCTTCAGTCAAGTTTAGAAGTCCTTGCTTAGGAACTCTCCCCCACGGTCAGTGCGAATCGTCCTCACAAGTCGGTCTTGTTGCCGCTCCTCCATCGGCAACCAATCGGTCTTCAACGTTTCAGCTACGTCAGACTTCTTGTAGACAACACATACACCCAATTCATGCGAGTGTAGACACCACAATGCTGAGGAAGTCCTCTCCTCCAGCAGCTCCAAGCTTCAAAGGGCCCACCACATCCATCACCACCTCATTAAGTGGTGCCTTCGCCGTTGTCTCCGAGCTATGGAACGGGTAGCGGGTGAACTTGGCTTGCATACATGTTGGACAGCCAAGCACCTCATTGGGCTCCCCCTTGACACGTATCCTACTGACCATCACTTTCTTAACTATCTGCTGCAGAATGGGCAATGCCACATGCCCCATTCGCCGATGCAAGGTCAGCCAATCATACTCTCCCATAGCTTGGGCTGCTGCACCACTCTCCTTGGGTTCACACGCTTCGCTGGTCCCTCCAAGATTGTACTCCATCGCGTCACTCTTGGTGTCACTTTGCTTTCCGTGATCACCGCCACCGACCGCTTCAGTCTTGGTGCTGATGCTTGCTGCCACTTGCCTCTCCTTTCTAGGCGACTATCGCCTCCGGCGCAGCGAAAAGTATTTAGAAATACTTGTGCAAATAGCCTCAAGGGCCTTGCCTCAGAATCTGATCTCAAAGTGGTTGCAAGTTGTCAATACACACAAGCATTCCACTAGTTCCAATGAGATTACAAAGCACACAAGAGTATACTGATTTATAGGCAAACAAGAAAGGACAAACGCGGTTCGTAACTGCCGTGTGCGCTGCGCGTAACTCGCGCGCTTCGTGTCATGCCGAGTCGCACATGCAATCGCGACTTTCTTGCTGAACACGCCGCTGGTCCGAAGTCCGAATGCTTGTTGAACACGCCCCGTCCGAAACTCAACTTTTGCCCCACGTCAATCTGTTTCTCGCCACTTCCCTTCCTTTCTTCCACTCAACTACCCCATCTCCTTACTTTCCACCAATCTTTTCTCAAACTTCTCTACAGCTCATCCCCTTTCCGTACACCTCACGCTTACGCAATATTCCCCGCTTCCTAGTTCCTTCTCGCCCCAAGTCCGCACTTCTCTCCTCGTCGCCCAAAATCACGAGTAGTCCGTTGTGGGTGGCGGAACCACTCCAACATCCTTAGGCATGGGGACCACTGGGATTTGCCATATGTCATTGTAGATGTCCTTGTCCTCATGAAGGTCCCAAAGCTTCTGCTCACCAAGCCTCGCGGTATAAGTTTTGGATCCCTTGGAAGATGTGTCCATGCTGGTCTTTTGCAAACGCCGCACGGAAATCAGGTTCGCTGCAAGGTTGGGCACCCAAAGCACGTTCTTGAGGCCCAGCATCTTCCCATCAGCATCCTTAAACATGGCTCTGCCCATGCCTTTCATCTCTGCTCACTGCCCCAAAGCCGATGTAACATGCTTGACCGGCGACGGTTCGAGTTCGATGAGCAAGTCCGCACGAGGTGTCATGCTATAGGTGGCACCGCTGTCGATCACCCAAAAAGTCCAGAGAGTGAAGAGTGAACTTTCCCATAGAAGCTGGCTCCTCAAAACCTTCCACACCTCCTGCTTCAGCTGCCGCTTGCGTGGAGACAAAGAAGAATTGGCTCGGGTATCGATCTTCACTCGGGTCCGTCTCGTAGTCTCCACCTTCCATGCTTGCCGCTACGCTTCCACGACCATCACGACCTCTGCCTCTTCCTCCCCTTGCTCCTCTGCCCTCTTGGCCTTGAGAAGGGGTCCATCCATCAGGAAATCTAAAGCAATCTCTCAACATGTGGTCGGTCTTGTAGCAAAAGTGGCATTCGCCATCAAATCGACCGCACACACGCCCATAGCCATTATTGTTGTTGTTGCTGTCATATCGTCCATTGTCATGGCCTCCATTGAAGTTGCTACTACCAAATGTGCCTCGTCAACCTCTGCCCCTTCCACGGCCACACCCATGGCCCATGCTTGCGACTCCGGCACCATCGGGACCCGCAATTCACGACGGCAGAAATCTTCTTGTAAGATTTCCCGCTTCACATGTTCGAGTGAGAGACGGAGCAGATCTCGGTTTAGGTTGATGATGAGCGAGGACCATGAGTTCGGAAGCAAGGCCAGCAGCTTGGTCTTCTTTTGAAGTTCACTGTAGTTCAGGTCAGCTTCTTCGAGCCATGTCAACAAGTCAAAGAATTTCTGCACTCCTTCCTCCACCGGTTTTGGACAACAGACTGGGCAACAGACGACGAGCGGGTGGACCTCCACAAGATGGCGCCTGCACCAAGGCAGTAGCCTTGTGAGGACCTGAGCATATCAGCGTCGTCCGCCCACGAAGCGTTTGTGTGCCCTGTAAGGACCACTGGCCTGCGCCCTCCTAGCACTAGCCCCATGCCGATGTACTTGCTAGATAACACAAAACCCTTTTGGCGGTTGACCAGTGATGTGGTCGGTATCTCCCTGTCGCCACAAAGCAAGCCATGATGCTGAGATGGTATGCGAGATCTGGACGAGTGCAAGTTATCAGGTACATGAGGCAACCCACCAGCTCTGCATACGGACCACTAGGCTCTACCAAATCCGCAGGGACTGGAGCCGAGTGCCTGTGATCTACTAGCAGAGGTGTGGGCTGTGCGGAGGAGAATTGAAGGCGGAACCTTTGAAGGACGTGGCGCACCAAGTGTGACTGTAGGAGAAAGATGGTGCACGCTGCTGTATCTCTGGTGATCTGCAGGATAAGGTAGCAGTGCTGCTCTCCTAGGTCAGTGCAGGTTTGTCTCCTCAACAACTCGGCCTTCACAGAGGCCGGTGCATTTCTGTCTGCAGTAGCAAAGACCAGGTTACCTATGTAGACAAGGATGTAGAACGGGGTCTGGCGTGAACGAACGAACAGCAAAGGGTCTGCAGAGGTAAGGAACAACTGTAGGTTAGCTAACGTAGCAGGCAGCGTGTCATTCCACTCACCCTCAGGGCATCTAGGTCACCCCCAGGGACTAGCAGCATGGAGCAGAGGTGGGGAGCAGCCTCGGACAGGAAAGCTATCTCGTACTGCCTGTCCTCTTGGATATCACTGCCAAGGGCAGGTGCGATTCCGGCGGACACAGGAAGCGCAGGGTCAGAGACCAGAGCTGTGGCATAGTCATGGCGGTGGGTAGAGGCAAAGTCAGCGATGGCAACGACAAGAGCGTCATGACAGGAGACAGGAACGGACTGTGTTAGGATTAAGGACAGAGTCTAGGTGAACTTAGGAGCTAGAATTACTCAAAATATAAATCCGAAATTCTGGACAGAAAAGTCGTCTTCACAAGAAACGACGTCGACAAAACACTAGCCGTTGGAATGTCGCGAAACTTGGATATGTTGTAGCTCTTGATCTCAGCTACCGTTCCCAATTTGAATCACGTTGATTGATGAAGTATTCGCGACGCTATGGCTTTCGACGCACTAGGGGGTAAGCTGTAGGAGGAGAACTTAACTCAATCTCAAGAGTTCAATCAAAGTTCAAGAATCTCACAAGGAATTAGAAGGAGCAAGAGAAAGGTTGGGATAGGAAGAGAGGGATGAGAGGGAAGGTCCCAAGAGAGTCCCCAACCAAGGAAACCCCATAAGCACAAAGATTCCCTCCCTATAGGAACCCCAACTTTGACATTTGTCCCTTCCCAACCAATCCATCCAAGTTGGCCACCCTTGCCAACCTAGCTTGGTTGTTCCCAACCAATTTGCAGCTGTTACAGTGAGTGACAAATTTCCCAAACCCCCAAAGGTCCCAACTCCATATAGAGTCACCCCACAACTTCACTTTGTAACCGCCGCAATTGTAACGCAAGCTCATGAACTTTGAATCTTCATAGCTTTCGCGTTCTTGCTCCGATTGAAGGGATTCTCGTTGCGTCGGAAAGATCTTCTCAAGATCTATCATCACAAAAAACCTGCTCAAACAAAATAACACAAAACACATTCCCAAACTCCAGAACACATCACACACAAATTCTTGCACACGTTCAAACCACACATGCAAGTTGAAAAAATATGGGATGGGAGGCAGACAGAATGTGATAGCATATGATGACATCACACAACAATCTCCCCCTCTGGCTGCCAACCATCATCCACCATACCAACATCTCAAGCATGCATACTCAATGCACACTCATCCCAGCAAGCTTCATGCCCTTCCAATGATCCGCCTCCGCCAGACGCTTGGTGAAAATATCTGCTGCCTGCTGATGGGTCTTCACTATCTCCAGCCGCACCTCCTTATCAAGGAGTCTCCTCACCCAATGCCACTTAGGCCTTATGTGTTTTGTCAGCCCATGCAGACAAGCATTCTTGGCGAGCTTCACAGCGGACTCATTGTCACAAAACACAACTGTCGGCTTCTCCTGACCAACTCCCAACTCCTCCAACAAACGCCTTAGCCACACTACTTCCTTGGCCCCATGGTGTAAGGCCATGTACTCAGTCTCACATGAGGACAATCCCACCTCATTCTGCTTCTTGCTGCGCCAGCTCACAGCACCACCTCCTAGCAAGCACACATAACCCCCAATGCTGGTGCCATCCGCTTTCACTGAGTTGAAGCTAGCGTCAGTATAGCAACTCAAGAGCATCTCTCCACTCTTCACATCTGCAGCACCTCTCTGCAACCGCTGCCTCACTCCACTGTACTCCAATCCCACTGATGCCGTAGCGCTCACATAGCGGACCAACCTCTTGGCCGCTTCCAGCTGCTCATGACTAGGGCGTGAGACCACACTAGCCAATCGTGATGTAGCAAATGCAATGTCAGGCCGTGTATGATTTGCAGCATAATTCAGCGACCCAACCATCGAATGAAACAGCTTCCTGTCACTATCACCCACTACCTCCTCATCAGCACATGGCTCCACAGTAAACCCTGAAGGTAGTGGTGTTGCTGGCTTTCCCCCATCTTGCAGCCCATACTTCTCAGCCAGCCCCTCACAGTACTTCCTCTGGTGCAACCTCAGCACACCCTTTTCCACATCTCTCTCCACGTGCATCCCCAAGTAGTACTTCACCTCACCCATCTTGGAGCACTTGAACTGCATCTCCAGCATCTGCTCTGCGCTGTCCAGCAAAGCAGTGGATGCAGAAAAGAGAAGGATATCATCCACATACACCAAGAGCATGAGGATTTCATCCTTCTCCTGCAGCAGGAACAGGCTGGGGTCACACTCACTCTTCTTGAAACCCCCAGCCAACAGCGCCTCCTCCAACTTGTGATACCATGCACGAGGCGCCTGCTTAAGGCCATAGATGGCCTTCTTCAGCCTGCAGACCCTGCCGCTCCCGTCATCCAGCCCCTCTGGCTGCTTCATGTACACCTCCTCCATAATGATCCCATTCAGAAAAGCAGTCACAATGTCCATCTGCCGTATCTTCCATCCCAGGAGTGCAGCTATCGCCAACAGCACCCTCAGTGTTGTTCCTTTCCCCACAGGAGCAAACACCTCATCATAGTCCTTCCCCTTTGTCTGCTGAAACCCCCGTGCCACAAGCCTAGACTTGTAGCGGGTCAGCTCCCCTTCAGGTCCATACTTGTGCCTGTAGATCATCTTGGAAGTGATTGCCTTCTTTCCAGGAGGCAAGTCACACAGGTCCCATGTCTCGTTCTCAATTAGGGACCCGAACTCCTCATCCTCACTCGCCTTCCACTTCTCCCCATTTGGTCCATTCAAGGCCTCTTCTCGAGTCTTGGGCTCAGGGATTGGTGCCCAGTAGCAGTGAGCGATCTCATCTTCCTCAATCTGCTCAACCACACTCCCAGCCTGCACCACATTCGGCTTGCCTCTTCCCCCATAGGTCAGCCTCACTGGAGGGCGCACATCCCTCCTAGGACGCTCAGGCGGGTGTGGAACTCGAGGTGGAGACTCATGCTGCTGCTGCTGCTGCTGCTCTACTTCAGCTGCTCCCCCTTCCTCAGTCACCCCAGACATCTCCTCCTCTGACACTGCAACCTCCACCTGTCTTGAAGGGTGCTGCACCTCATCTGCCTCCACAATGAGCGGTGTAGATGGAAGCTTCTGTTGCTGCTGCTTCCATTCCTTGTAGTACAGGGACTCAAGAAACTTCACATCCCTTGACACTGTCAACTTCTGGGTGGTCAAGTCCCATAGCAGCCACCCCTTGTGATCCTTTGCAATCCCCAAGTGCACACCCCATCTTCCAGAAGCCTCCAACTTCCCTCTTTTCTCCTTAGGCACATGAAACACTACCATGCACCCAAATGCCCTCAGCATGTTCACAGCTGGAGCACTCCCATACCACTTGATATATGGGATCCACTCCTTATCTCCAACTGTAGCCAGCACCCTGTTCTTCACAAGGGCGACCTGCCTCAGTGCAGACACCCAAAACGGATCAGGTAGCCCTGCACGCCCAAGGAGAGTGCGTGCCCCCTCCTGCAGGGTCCTGTTGAACCTCTCAGCCACGCCATTCTGCTGCGGATTGTAGGGCACTGTCAGTTGATGCTGGATCCCCTTCCTCTTCAACTCCCCCTCAAAATCAGCTCCAATGAACTCCCCACCATTGTCACTGCGGATCACCTTCACCTTGTGTCCGCATTCCCTCTGAGCTCTAGGCATCCACTCCTTAAGGACAGCCGCTGCCACCTCCCCCTTGCTGTTCAAAGGGTAAACCCACACTGCCCGAGTGTGGTCATCCACAATTGTCAAGAAATAGCGGCTGCCTGAGAGGGAAGGGGCTCTTGTGGGCCCCACCACATCCATGTGCACAAGTGCAAGTGGGGTCTTGGCTGGTCCTGTTGCACTGTTGAAGGGGAACTTGGAGAACTTGGTCTCCAAGCATGTAGGGCAGCTCCCAATCTCCTTCACTTCCCCTTTCACCTCCAAGCCCTTCAGGCTCCCATTCTTCACCAACTTCTGCAGCATAGGGAAGTTCACATGACACAACCTCTCATGCCATGTCTCCCAATCGGCCTCTCCACTCCTTGATGAAGCCTTAGCCCATGCCGCACTCGCATCCACACCAGCAAGCACCTCACCATGTGTCTGCTGCTTCTGCACTTTCTTGACTGCTTCCAGGACCCCATCAGTTGGTGCAGTTGCATCTCCTCCTGCTGTTGCCTTTGCCACTGCTGCCGTTGCTGCTGTTGGAGTCTTCCCATTCCAAGGGATGATGGGCAGCTGCCACAGGTCCTTGATGCAGCTGGTCTCCTCTTCCAGACTCCACAGCACCTTCTTCCCAAGCTTAGCACGGCAGCTGGTTGGTCCAAAGGTCACTTCGGCCTTACTCTTCTGCAGCCGCCGCACAGAGAGAAGGTTAGCAGACAAGCCTTTAACCAGCAGAACATTCCCAAGCCCCACAAGCTCCCCATTAGCTCCCTTAACCTTGGCATTCCCAACACCAATCACGGGGAGCAAAGCACCTGACGCTGCTGCCACATACTTAATCTTCCCAGGGGGTTTTACCTCATCAAGCAAATCTGCCCGTGGGGTCATGTGACTGGTGCAACCCGAATCAATCACCCAGTGCGTGAGAGGGTGCATCACAACCTTTCCGACAGATCCCACATCACCCTCATGCCCATGCACATCCTCAACCATGAGATACATCCCAGGATAGGCGTTACCTTGTGCACCTTCATCTTGCACAGCGCCACCTTGTGCGCGTTCACCACTGGGTGGCTTCATGCCTGGAGGTGCCCATCCCTCCGGCCTGCTGAAGCACTTGAACCAAGGATGCCCTATCTTCTTGCAGTACCAGCAGGTGCCCTCCATTCTGGTACTCCCCCTGCCACTAGAGCTCCCATGCCCCTCATTATAGTCACCTCGGCCTCTACCTCTGCCAAAGCTCCTCCCACGGCCTCGGCCTCTCCAACCCCCTCTTCCTCTGCCGCGCCCTGCAGCTCCATACCCCTCAGCAGTCTTAGTGGCAGCACCGCCTCCCACATGGCGTCTGCGGAAGTCCTCCTGCAGAATCTGCTGCCTTAGCCACTCAGGTGTCCATTGATCTTGTTGAGAGTTGAGGGTGGGGATGAGGTTGTCCCAAGAGTTGTCCAACACCGAGATGATCTTGGTGCACTGCTGCAGCTGAGATACACTGCTGCCCGCTGCTGCCATCCTTGCATAGGTGTCCTTGATCTTGTCAAGGACCGGCTTCACATCGTCCCCTGGTCGCATGGAGATGGCAGCAAGTTCCTTCTCGAGCACGATCACCATCAGGAGAGTGTTGGGCTGAATCACATCGCGTAGTAGTTTCCACGCCCTTGGACCCGAATCATCCGCTTCCACAAGATCCTTGATGTGCTCGAACATCTCCTTGTTGACCGATTGAAGGATGAGGTCGAAAAGCACCGTGCTTTTCTCAATCCACCGTTCACGTGCTTCGCCTTCTTCCGGCATCTTCTCTTCCCCAACAGCAATCTTCAGTAGCTTGTAGCGTTTGAAGGCACTCCTCATCCGTCCGCTCCATTCCTCATAGTTGGAGCCATCCAAAGCTTCAACTTTTGATGGCGGCGGCTCACTTGTCTTCTCAGGTACAGCTCCTCTTCCATTAGCATCTCCTCCTCTCTCATTCATCTTCTCCTTGAGAAATGACGAATTTCAGCTCCCCTTTGCTGTCCACACTCAGCTCCCTCGATATTTTCACAAGTGTCGGCGTCCACGAAATTTCGGCAGAGTTTCCCCTTAGCGGAAGACACATCCAACCTTTAGAACACCACTTAGGCACACCCACAGGCCATGGTGGGTCTAGAAGGGTCTTCAAACTTCTGTAGACTCCTCTCAATGTCCTTAATATTGCTCTGATACCACTTGTTAGGATTAAGGACAGAGTCTAGGTGAACTTAGGAGCTAGAATTACTCAAAATATAAATCCGAAATTCTGGACAGAAAAGTCGTCTTCACAAGAAACGACGTCGACAAAACACTAGCCGTTGGAATGTCGCGAAACTTGGATATGTTGTAGCTCTTGATCTCAGCTACCGTTCCCAATTTGAATCACGTTGATTGATGAAGTATTCGCGACGCTATGGCTTTCGACGCACTAGGGGGTAAGCTGTAGGAGGAGAACTTAACTCAATCTCAAGAGTTCAATCAAAGTTCAAGAATCTCACAAGGAATTAGAAGGAGCAAGAGAAAGGTTGGGATAGGAAGAGAGGGATGAGAGGGAAGGTCCCAAGAGAGTCCCCAACCAAGGAAACCCCATAAGCACAAAGATTCCCTCCCTATAGGAACCCCAACTTTGACATTTGTCCCTTCCCAACCAATCCATCCAAGTTGGCCACCCTTGCCAACCTAGCTTGGTTGTTCCCAACCAATTTGCAGCTGTTACAGTGAGTGACAAATTTCCCAAACCCCCAAAGGTCCCAACTCCATATAGAGTCACCCCACAACTTCACTTTGTAACCGCCGCAATTGTAACGCAAGCTCATGAACTTTGAATCTTCATAGCTTTCGCGTTCTTGCTCCGATTGAAGGGATTCTCGTTGCGTCGGAAAGATCTTCTCAAGATCTATCATCACAAAAAACCTGCTCAAACAAAATAACACAAAACACATTCCCAAACTCCAGAACACATCACACACAAATTCTTGCACACGTTCAAACCACACATGCAAGTTGAAAAAATATGGGATGGGAGGCAGACAGAATGTGATAGCATATGATGACATCACACAACAGACTGGTCGGTAGCAAGAGAGGTGAGAACGCGAGGAACAAGCGGACTAGCGGCACAGAGGAAGTTAGACAGATGAGGCGGCGAGACAACAAGCGATGACTGAGTAGGCAACGATAGAAGAGGAGCACGAGACGCGTGAGAGCGGAGCAACATAAGGTGAGAGCGCTGAACAGGAGAAACAAGACGAGCACGAGAGGCATGGTGAGACCACTAGTGGGAGGGGGTAGTCGAGTCTTGAGCCAAGGGAGGAGACACACGAGGAGAACGAGGGGGGAAACGAGCCAAAGACGAGTCTGGCGGAGGAAACACAGGGCCGTAGATAGGCAGGAGAGGTGGCGGCGGGGCAGGCGCAGGCAGGCGGTCGGTGGAGGGAAGACCGAGGAGGCGAAGGGCGGACATCGGTCAGAGCGATTTGCTCCGCGGAAGGCAGAAACTCACCAAGCGGTCTCTGGCGCATCTCAGCGCCACCAGCGCCGCTGTCGAAGCTGCCAAACCCGACTTCCGCCCGCTGCGCCCAATCCACTGGCACCACAGCGTGCCGCGGGACGCTAGGGTTTGGATTCTGCTGAACGCGACTCGGCAAGAAGCAGAGGGACGCCCAGTGCAACGAGCACTTGCAATCACTTTTCGACCTCTTCCATGCTGCTGGCTGGAGAGAGGTGCTGCCAGGTGAGCCATTGTCTCATTTGCCCACCTTTTTGTGAATTTGCTTGGCTGTCTATGTGTCATCGCTCTGCCCATCATGCTCCCAACCTTTGCTTGTACCCCGCCGTGCATCGGCTCCACTACCGACATCGCCACCTGGTTCGAACGGGAGCTGAAAGAAGACTTAACACTCACGGTGTCCGACGAAGTGACCCAGTACCTAGGACTGAATGTCGACGAAAACGACACGGCGTTCTACCTACACGCTGGAAAGTACTCAGGCACCGTCGCGAAGAAATTCGGTCTAACACCGACTACTGTCCCAACTCCCTACCACTACGGGAACAACAACAGCACCTCCGCAAAACTCCCCGCGAAACAAATCCAGGAGTATCAACAGAAGCTCGGCTGCCTACTATTCGCAGCAGTAACCTGCCGACCCGACCTGTCCTATAGTGCGAGTCAACTGGCGACGCATCTGAAGCAACCGGAACAGGAAGATCTCGAGGAGCTCAACCGAGCACTACTCTACTTCGTCTCCACGCCGACGATCGGGCTTACCTACCGCAAAGCGACAACACCGTCCGTACGACTACTCGGATACGTCGACGCCGACCACGCGGGAGATAGGGAAAATCGACGATCTAGGACGGGCTACATCTACCGACTAGAACCCATCGGAACTATCTCCTGGCAGTCGAACAAGCAGGAGTTAATCGCGCTATCCTCGGCTGAAGCAGAGTATATCGCCCTTTGTACTGCGACCAAGGAAGGACTCTACGTACGGGAGTTACTCGAGGAAGCGAAGATAGCGAGACTGGTAGTGCGGAGGAGGCTTCAGACTATCACCGTTGAAATTGTCATCTAGGCTCATCCCTAGGTTGCACAGGAACAACGGGTGGATCTTGGTGTTGACCTTGTGCTTGGGCATCTTTTTTGCCTTCAGAACCTCTGCCACCCTCTTTCTTAGGTCTATGCATGTTCGAAATGACTCCAAGGGGCTCTGATACCACTTGTTATAATCACAGTAGGCTCAGATGTGCCTATAATGAGAGATAGAGTGCATAGTCGGATGTCCATCAGACGGCTTCAAATATTGATACCGATCTGTTCTGTGCGTTAAATGATGATTTTTAAGCTGAATCTAGAGCACATTGCTGTCGTCTATCAGCAGCAAGTTGACTCATGAAATTTCATGAAGTTTTGACGATGCTATGGCGATTTGACTGGTAGGAGGTATAGAAGCCACTATTGTCTTAGAAGTACAAACTTAGCAAAAGAATCAAGATTGAGATGGCTCCCAGTCTTTACAAGCCCCAAGAGTTGAACTCCAGGTTGGTGGTAAACCACAAAAGTGTCCCCAACCATGAAGAGACTCGAAACAAACCCTACAAGGGGCTGCACCAAGTGAAATGTAACACTACTTGAAGTAGCATTACTATTTTCACGATTTTTATACTGCATTTATCCACTTCCCTTGGGCTTGAAATCTTGAGCTCTTGGTCTTGATTCTGCAACCTAAATTCTTATTGAGTTGATGAGGGCTTGCTGCAAACACCTGTGATGCGATGGACACTTTACACTTGACAAAATAGAAAAAACATATGCGACGTGCAAACGATAACCTGACATGCGAGTTGTGAAAACTCGCTAACGTCTTGATCGACACAAACCACATTGTGATACACCATTCAAGCACACACAAAAGCACTAGATAGAAATGCCATAGACTCACAAGTCATTCCATGCCATGCATGCACACACACAAACAATGACGACAATCCGAGTGCAAGCCATAGGGTTGCACCAACAACGCCCAAATTTAGTGGTACGGATAACAATATGCTTGATGCGTGCATGAACATTGGGTTCTGTGTCAAAGAAATTGCATAGTGATTGCCGGCGAGCAATGGAATGGGTTGCTGTCAAGGGACCTGGAGCTCGCCGAACAATCTTGCAGCCATGCTGCCTCCCTTCCCTCTTGTGCTGTCGCTACAAAGCCTTTTTTAAAATTATTATTGCCATGAGACTACAGCTCCCTCAAGGAGGAAGTTAAAACCCTAAGTGGGTTTTCCTGTTATAACGTTGCCAACCCAATCTGCATTAGTAAAACCAGTAAGAGCAAGGGAAGTAGACTGCCCACCAAAGTGCAGGCCAAGATTATTGGGGCCACGGTGGTTATGCAAACAGTGCTTGGCAGAAAAGAGATGAGAGCAGCCAGGATTATGCATCCACTTAGCATGTTGAGGGACAGTAAATGTAACGTCAGGGCGACAGCACACGGCAGCAAACAGGAGACTTCCCACAATACTAGGGTAAGAAGAGAGTGTGAACTCATGAAACTTTAGATCATTTATCCATTCAGGGTCCTTATGTCCACCACATGACTTCATCCATGATGAGGGTGCATTTAGATGA